GCTATATGCAACTTTGGCAGTACATGCTGAAGTCTTCAGGTCACAGAGGTCACAGGTTCCAAGCACACTGACAATAACCATTAAGGGATATTTTGGTCATGTGGAGTTTTGCTGGGGTAAATCTCTCTTTATCTAATTAAAACAAATCTCCGCAACAACTAAACAGTAGCAGCAGAAAAAGACTGATAAACTATATTTAGCAGAAGTCTCAGTGAATCGCTCCACCTGTCCTCCAGATCTCCCCACAGACACGATAATGAGCAAAATCCTCCATCTGGCAGCCTCGCTTACAGCAAACTCAACCCAAAAAATGTTGTCTGAATGTGCTAAATTTAATTCTGCTCTAATTAGTTTTGTGTCAAGAGGCTGCAGAGCAGGCTGGGCTGTGCCTGTGGTGATCAGAAACTAATCAATCATCAATCAGTCTATCAGAACAGAAGGGTGAATCTGGTTTGTAGAGAGACAATCCTGCCTCGCAAACAAATCATCTTCTGTAGTGAACATGTGTAGAGACAGAAAACAGGCTACTGTAGTTTTCAGCTTGCACAAGCAGCCTATTAGAAGCTAAGTCTGGTGATTATTCGCACAGCATTTTGAAATTCTATCCTCATTAGTGAAGACTTGTTTTTTTTCCTTTGCAAGAAATTCAGTATTCAAAGTGTAACTAGCTCTATTCTACAATACTTCATAATACTTTGTGTCCAGGTGCTTTGTTGACGTTTAGCCTGGAACCCCTTAAAGAGATCTTGCAAGTTGAATTTACAAAGTGTGTTATACATTGTATTTATTATATATTTATATCTTATTATCTGCAATGCCACATAAAGAAGTTGCCTCTGCTTCAGCACACTGTGCAGTAATAGGTGGTGGTGAGTCTGAGCAGCTGTGATTTAGAAAATCGGTCCTTCTAGCTAGTTACCTCACACAATTTGTCATCATGATGAATTATTGTGTTTGTCCAGGTTCCACAAACTCCACCCTGTCAGTCCACACTTTTCTTAACAACGGAGCTGCTTTTTCGTCTCGACCGTTTTTGTGAAGGTGGAAAGACTTCGCTGCTACGTAAGTAATGAAAAACCCGGTTGTGCACAGTGCTCGTTTTAGACAGCAGTGTTGTGTTCCTGGAGATCCCATGGAGTTCTAGATGGGATGACAAAGTTAGGATGTGTGAGACTGACAGCCGTTGATGTTATCACCTGCCCTGCTCTCTGCTGGTTCACCTCACATGACAAATTAATTTGTCACTGATGGCTGTTGTTTCTCCTCATCCTTGTCTGCTCCTGGTATTTGTGATTCCCAGAAGGTTCATTAATATAAAGAATAGAATAAAATAGTTGTCATCATCCACAAAAACTGTAAAAGAAATTGGTACATTCTGTCATATGTGTGTGTTTTGAGCCTCTTTCAATGCTACTGTTAGGATGCGCATTTTTATATTGTTTAATTCATTTAACTAAAATTAACTTGGTGGCTCTTTTCTTCTTTTTTGACTAGGTTGAGTTTTTTGAAGCAGGTATGAAACTAAAAAACAACTCTAAGCGTTATTGGATTGTACATACTGATATTTAAACCCAGTGAAGGCATCAAGTGTATGTTTAAGACATTATTTTACAGGGTGCTCATTTGAACAAGCTTTCAACCAACTCACAGAGCTAATGTTCACAAGCTGACATCTGACAGCCACAGTTGTCATTGTAACCAATAAAACTGAATATGCCTGCTGATGAAAATATGAATAGTTATGTCTGCTATCAAGGTAGCATTGTTTTACAAATGACTATTACCATTGTAAACTGTATTAGTGCTGTCCTGAGTTATTTGTGCAGATCAGATTACCTTGTCGAGTGTTATATGCAAAACATTCGAGAAAAAAAAAGGGAGACTGAAAAAGTAAAATAGCAAATTAACAAAGTCTGACAGCTTCTATCAGCTTTAACATCACCATCTGCAGCATTTCAGCATTATGTCATCTGTGTCACACAAAAAGGCACAGTATGTGTGAGGGTTTCTGCAGATGCTGTGTACAGATTGTGTCTCCAATTAATAAACTCTGTTGGATGGCTGAACATTACATAAAACATGACGGTACATTACTTATCATAGAAGAGCACTCACCCGCTCTGCCGACTGGGCCGTGCCAAAGAAGATGGGGATGAAGGCGAGCCAGATGATACAGGTGGTGTACATAGTAAATCCAATGGGTTTGGCCTCGTTGAAAGTCTCTGGCACACTGCGTGTCTTGATGGCATATACAGTGCATGTGACCATCAAGAGGATGCTGTATCCCAAGGAGCAGATAAGCGAAAGGTCGGAGATGTCACACTTGAGGACGCCGCGGGCGTTCCCAGGATCCTGCGTGCGTTGCTCGCCATAGTCTACAAAGGTGTGCGGTGGGTCGGAGGCAAACCACACGAGGACGCCCAGCAGCTGAACTGAGATGAGTGAGAAGGTGATCACCAGTTGGGAGGCTGGAGAGATGAAACGTGGTGCAGTCACTGCCTTCTTGCCCTGCTCGAAGATGCGGTGGATGCGGTTGGTCTTGGTGAGCAATGCAGCATAGCTGAAGCACATGCCGAGGCCCAAGAAGATCCGGCGGAAGGAGCAGACGACGACATCAGGTGCAGCGATCATGGGGAAGGTGATGATGTAACACAAGAAGATACCCGTCAGCAGGACGTAGCTCATCTCCCGACCAGAGGCACGCACGATGGGGGTGTCGTTGTAGCGAACGAAGGTGACAATGACGAAAGTTGTGGCGATGATGCCCAGGACAGAGATAAAGACTGGTACCAGAGCCCACGGGGAGTGCCACTCCAGCTTAATGATGGGTATTGACTGGCAGCCAGTGCGGTTCTGGTTGGGTCTCTTCTCATAGGGGCAGAGCTCACAGGTAAACTCGCTGGCCTGGAAGTGGTATCCCTCACAGCGCTCGCAGTGCCAGCAACACGGGACGCCCTTCACCACCTTCTTCCTCTCGCCGGTGCGGCAGGGCAGGCTGCATACGGAGGCCGGCAGGGAGGAGTCGCCGGTGGTCCACTGCAGGGCCTCCATCTGAAGAAAGGGAGGAAGCAGAATGGTCAACATTCATCTTCTTCAACTGAGAAAACAACTCAGCAACAACATACTTCTGCTCTAAATCATACGTGAGTTCAACAGACTGCAAACAGAAATACAGTCCTGCCACAGTGTGTTCCTCTCACTTGTGAAATAAGCAAAAATAAAATCACTGACTGGACTCCTGCTGATTAAGGGTCAAGTCGAAAACTATAAAAAATGGAAATTCATCAACCAAAATGCGTGTTGAAAGAACTTTATAAACACCATTAAGTTACTTCCTTCACAACTTGGTGCTTGTTTAGCAGGGACAGCTTTGTAGTTTATCATTTTTGCCCTAAGAAGTGAGAAAATCCCAAATTCTGGCCTTACTGGCTTTATTTATTTATTAATTTTGAAATATTCTTTACTTCTGCTGTTGTGTTTTAGCTTCTTCCGAGTAAAACTCTTGTCTGGGATCAAACATTTGACCTTGCCCACATGAGCACAGCATGATAACCCTTGAAAATGTTTGCTTGTAGGGTGGCCTGGATGACTAGGAAAATATTCTCCTTATGGAAGGTCTGTGTAGTTTTTTGGCACTCGTTTTTTTCTTCTAGAAGGTAATAAAAAGTAGGGGTTGGAATCATAGATTTATTTGTGATACTATCACAATATGTTGCCCAACACTCAACTGGGCTTCATATTGCTCTACAACACTCCATTCAAGTTTGCTGAACAAATTTTAAGTTTATAACTGAACCTAAAAATGCTGGTTTTAAAAATGATATTTGCTTCATCTAAGAATGAGGTCCCATTTCAATCAGAAACTGGCTCAAGTCAGATTCATAACTATGTTGGCCTGATGTCCATATGCGCAGTCGGGTTGTAATAGCACTAAAAAAATAATACTTTTTGATAAGAGCTGTAGTGATTAGTGGTCCTTACATTTAGATGGAGCTGATTGGTCCAGTGTCCAATGACCTTGTACTCTGCTGTTGACCTATTGTTGATCTGATACTGGAAGATGTCGTAGCGTCCCGGAGCGTCACCGTTCTCATTAAAGATGACTGGAGTCCCTGCACTTCCTACAGGAACACAAAGCAAACATTTTCAGAATTGGACTCATGAAAATGTAAAATGCAAGATAAACCTTTACGGTGATAAATGGAAGGAGAGAGGCAGCAGATTCAATGTACTGAGAGCCAACATGTGTTTTTTCATTGTAGTTTGACTTTGACATCTTTGATTGATGCTTCCCTATATAGTGGTATGTCATTGCAAAAAAATCCACTTGAATATGAATCCCAGCTGGACCATTGTCACTAAAACTACAAACCTCTGCAGCCTAGGATGAGCAGTAGAAGACACATAACTACACTTTGGAGATGAGACAGTGTTGTACTAAGTACTGGATTGCAATTATGGAACTATTATGTTTAAATTTCAGTTAAATGAATAGCAGTCTCCAATCAAACCCATCCCTCCACCCCAACCCCCTTCCTACACAGATTTTGTGTCTCCACAACATAAGCAAACTTGGCTTCAATAACACATAATGTTTGAAAATGTTGGTTTCTTTTGTGAAATACCAACATGGTTGTTTTAGAAAAGCAAGTTTATATTTCTAAAAAGCAAAGGGCAACACATGTTGGCAGCATAAGCGAAGTAAACACTCCAACACCAGCTGTACCATCTTCAACACAAATTAACTGTCTAGAAAAGCTACCCATTATCACATTTCCCCCTGGAGAGCAGAAAATCCATCCAATGTCCCTTGACTTAGGGGCAGGTTGTGGGTTCCCCTCTTGTTTATGTGCAACCTAAGAAGTTGTAATTTTTGCATATATTCGATGATGCCAAATATAATGAGGGATACGCACCATGCAAGCACATCACTGAAAAGCAATAAATGTAGATGTTAACCCCACCAGTTACCTGGACCTCAAGGTTAAGTTAAAAATACAAACAAATCCTCTAAATAAATGATTTCTGGTCCATGCCTTCCAGAATGATACATGGTATAAACATTATAAGATCTGCCACCACTATGGTTAATGCTCAGTCAGGTTCAAGCTCAACATCGAATTGTTTCGATTTAGGAAAATACATAATTTGGAATTAAAGCTCTTGTCATTGTCATGGTCACAATAATAATGTCTTGATTAAGATCAAAAAACAATCATAGTCATGATCAAACGAAGCAAGTATTGACTGTTGGTAGAAAATGGACAATATTGATACCTCCATCTACCCCAACCTCCTCCCATTGTGGAATATACTACATAAACACATCACATGATTTTTTTAATGGGCTGCAGGGTGGTTCAGTGGTTAGCACCATCGCCTCGCAGCTAGATGATCCCTGGTTCGCATCCCGGTTAGGATGCCTGAGATCTTTCTGCGTGGAGTTTGCATGTTCTCCCCGTGCAGCATGAGTTCTCTCCGGGTTCTCTGGCTTCCTCCCACAGAGTCCAAAAACAAGGTTAATTGGTGATACTAAATTGTCTGTAGGTGTGAATGTGAGTGTGCTTGGCAACCTGTCCAGGGTGTCCCCTGCCTTCACCCTAAGTCAGCTGAAATAGGGTCCGGCTCCCCCGCGACCCTAGTGAGGATTAAGCGGTGTATAGATAATGGATGGATGGATGATTTTTAATTATACTACTGATGGACAAAAGTCACAAAAACTATAGGGCTTTAAAGTGGATGTGTGCGTCTATTAATAAGCCAGAAGTAAAAGCTTGTGTACTTCTGTATTTTAAGGGAGAAGTCACTAAAATGAAAATCCTACGTTGCCGTTTTACAAAATAATGCAAAAGACTTATGACTCACTTCACTTTTATTCCCATTCAAATCCAGTGTGTGTTCTGATAGAATGTAGGAGCTGTAATTCCACATTTTGTTAACAACCTCAACAACAAACCCAGTAGAATTCCCTTCCTGTGACTGCGTTGCATTTAGTGTCATTTTTGTCTTGCAAAAAATGTCTTCAGTCTCTGTCTGCGTTTTCTTTTAAAGCAGTGGGCTGTTATTTCCTCTCGTTTTCTCGCTGATACTCTCTCAGGTTTTTCTGTCAGTGTGACGAAGGCGTTCCTCTCTGTGTGACTCACTGCAGTTTCCCTGCTGGCTTGTCATCAAAACAACCACATCGACATCTTGTCGCCATATTGACTAAATCCCTCCTGCCAAGTTAAAATCACATATGGTCTGACACAGTTATAATAATGAAAAAAAATTCTCTGATCTGGTGACTTCAGACAGTAGTGCTTTGATAGCCATCATTGTTTCTGTTGAGTAGTGATGTGAAAGGATTTACCCATAGGGTAGTTTCTCACCTGCTGTGCTGATACCTGATAAGCTCTTTATACAGCACAACAATCAATAATACTATTTCTGAGAATCAAAATCATTATAGAAATCTCAAAACCATATGTTTAATTCTTTATGTATTGACAAGAATACCATCCATTACTTTTTTTTTTTGTAAATAGCTAAATTAAAAATATATTTTTTTATTTTATGTGCACAGGATGCACTGACAAGTACAGCTCAGGAAATGAATAAAAAGGAAAAGAAAATGGCAAGAGTGTGAATGCACTGCTGACCATCCCTAAAAAGACATAAATGGGGGAAAAAAAAGGTTTACACTATTGTGTTTTGTAGCAAAAGATCCTTAATAAAACTTAACTTTAATCTGTATTAATATATAATTTTGTGTTTTATACCTAATTTTCACCCATTACATTTTTTTTTACAACAGACGCTGATAAATTCACTCAAAAATGAAATGAATTATCCATTACAAACACTTCTTGCTGAGGTCTGGCAGCACATATTTGACTTCTGGCAAATACAGGTGGTAATCATATTTTTAATTAAAATTTAAGAGAGCAAAGAGACACAGAAAAGCTCATTTACGCAAAACCTTTTCAAATATAAAACCTGGGTACAGTTTGTTTATTGGTTTAAAATCAGATTCTCATTGAAGCTGCAGGGATGCGACTGAGTCTGGTGCCTCAATGTGAATTTGTTTTCAGGTTTCATAAGTTTTATGTAATCATGAAGAGTTTTAACACATTTTAAAGAAACACACACCACAAGTTCACTAACAGTCCAGGCAGTGTGATCCAGGGATCCTTAACTCTTTTCACCCTGCAGGTTCTTGAGCAGGGACTCAGCTGTATCATTTTCTTAAACACAATCCATTTGCCAATAAACACTGCATATCTAAGAGGCTGCCTGGTTCTACTATGACTAATAATGGTAGAGTTGCAGTTAAGAATTTTAAGATCAGGTTAAAAAACATCAGCATTTACTGACTCATGTGGAGCTGTTACTGACTGAACTGAGGAGGTTCTTTTTTAGGTGGAGATTTTAGAAATAGTCTTGAGGGGCTTCTGAGACAGCTTAAAAAGATTGGACAATATGTTTTGAAATGAATGTAATGTCCCTAGAGATGGCGTTTCTAAATAGATGAACCCTCTGTAATGTCACCCATTGGTTTCCTGAAGATTGGTTTTGAAGCTCAGCGTGACTGCTCTTAACTTTAAGCTACTCTAAGTGAGCAAAGAAATGGAACGTAGGAATGTAGGTGGAGCCCATGGACTGGACTGTGACAGCACCCACCTGTCACTCATAGCAGCCAAATCCTTAATTTAGCATAACTTTACACCTTAAAATGATTTGAATAGATGAGTTATATAAAAATGCATCCTCTGTACAGTTGTCACAAACGGAGACA